ATACGATTTTTTTTGCCTCATAGTGATTTTGCAGTATGACCGATAACGACTCAAAAGTCTTACCGTCGGGGTCCTCGGGCAAACACAGACTGAACAGAATTTTATGCACTTCCTCCGAAATCGAGGATAGCAAAATTGCCCTCTTCTTACTCTCCTCCGTGATGCCGTTGGCGGCGAAAAAGTTCTTTAGCCGAGCGAAATATATCTTTACATTCGTCTCTTGATCGAAAATTCCCGGAGTGCCGATGACTTGCGAGTAGATGGTCCTTACTGACGCCGATGATGCTCCGTCGTTGCGTGATGATTGTGTCATGTTAAACGAGTTCGGTTTTTTTTTTTTTTAAATATTTTTTACTAACAATATGTATATAAAATATGTTATATACTAGCAAAGAACAAAAAAAAAAATTTTAAATCTTCGTCGCCAATTTGTTGTATACTTAACTGTAGAAGAATACAACTCAACTTTAGGATTAATAAAAGACGTTTATTATGAAACGCTATAACAGCAATGACAAGTAATTATTTTCAATATTAGCGTACGCCGTGAACAGTCCCCACTGCGTACACATTAATTAGTGTTATCTGAATAACCATATTATAAATATAACAATATAACAATATACAACATTTATAGCAGATTTAAATCCGGCGTTCTTTTTGAGACACCCTATTTATTAAAACTAAAAACGTGTTTGCAGGGCAGCGGCGACAACGCAACTGGATGCAGTAGGCCATGTGGAAATGGAACACGTTATTTGAAAAAAAAAATTTAAAACAAATATCAGACCATTGGACGGATGTGCATTGGTGTGTTAGTTTTTTTATTTGATTGATGAAATTTTTTTTGTTTATAATTTCTGTTATATGACTCGCATGTTAATTATCTAAAACCCATTTGCAATAGTTTACTTATAAAATTGTTTACCTGTGTCACAATAAAATGAAGTATATACCTTTTAGAAAAAAAAAAAAGTGTTTTAGTTACCTTTATCCATTGACCGTCTGATTGATATAATATAGTATCACTATATAAACATACTTCAACCACGCAAATGCGTACACTGTACTTGTCTACACACAACCCAATAAGAAAAGGTGAAAAAAAAGAAAATATAAAAATGATTAGAATAAGAGGTTATAATAATAATAATAATTAGTTTATAAAAAAAAATGAGAGTATTTAGTGTGCAAAATTGAAAATATGATTATGGTCAGCGGTGCAAGTTATTCTGTGGATGGGTGCTGTCTGGTTCGCCTTGTGCCTGTGTCGAGTGGACGCCCCAATCGACTTGAACCAAAGCCGGTATCTCCTATGTATAGCATAGAATAAAAATTAATTACTGTTTATAAAAAAATAAAAAAAATTGACTTACCGCCCAGTTTTGCGTTTCTTGCTTAGCTTTTACACTATTTATGAGTTCACTTGATACTAATACCAACGACGTTTCTGTTACTGAACATCATACTTAAATCCAATTTTGAATTTTATTTCAATAATAATTTTAATTTATTTACTTAATCTCAGTTAAAATAAAAATGTCTATTGACAAATATCAAAACTATCTTGCCACCGAAAAACTTTCAAACTTCAATGAAGTAAAACCAAATAAAGGTTCAAAAATGTATGTGGAAATTACATACAAATCGAAATATATTATAAATATTTTTTTTTTATACAGAAACACTTAAGTAAGATAAAAAAAAATATATATTGTATGGTTTTTGTCAGTACACACGTTAGATGGCAGATGAAAATCAAAATACTGTATTTTGTGCAACCTGCCAGCACTTCGACCGCCGGACAAGGTTGGTAACTTATTCTAGGTTAAGTTGGTATGTGTAGTGACCTAGTCTGTAATTACAATTAGTAGACAACCGTTGCACAGTGGACTCAAGTCGTGGACGTGGATCGAAGAGGTCATGTGAAGGCGATCATCAGCCGGCGTCCAAGCGAGTTAGGTAACCCCAAATAGCTATCAATGAACGATTTTACCTGAAAAAAATTAGGAAAGTTTTGAAACTTGTCAGAAATTTTCTTTGTGATCTTCTGAATGACCGAAAAAAATTCCCCACTCCTCCGAAGACCGAAAGTGTCCGCCATTTTGTTTTTTTCAATTATCATCAAAAATATTAATTTTACAACAAAAATACTTCTATTCAGCATTATCTCCAATAATTGAACTGTAGGGATTTTTGATTTTTATGTTTTTCACCATAAAATTATTATTTTTACTCACTAATTTTTGCATTAATTATTAGTCATAGGCATCCTTAATTTTTCGAAAGATTTTTTTGGTACTTTGGTTTACTATTTTGCTTTTTTTAATTTTTAAGGAGATACTGAATTATTTTCTAGTATTATTGTGTATTAAAAACAAAATAAACTTAACAAAATGCAGTATCTCCATAAAGATATTTTTTAGTATAATAATTTAGTAGAATGATAAACACATAATGGTTATAGTTAGTACCAAGGTATCTGAAAAATCTCAATAAATGTTTTGGTACATATTGTCGTGTCTGACTAGTACCACGACCATTTCTAGATCAAATATAGTGTACATACTGCAAAGCCGTTTTAGCTAAGATTACTTGGTAAATATGCAGTATATGCATTGAGAAATTTAATTACTAATGAAATAAGCAGTATCTCCATTGTATATAGTGCTTTATTCCCTAGGACATGCTACATAAATGTACATACTGTGTTTTTCACTAGTATTTGACAATATTTTGGTCGATGCGACATTTTATAATGCATTTCAAAGGAATTTTTGATGGAGATACGGTGTTTTTTCTAAGCATAAAAAAATACGCAGAATTATCCAAGTATCCATGCATATAATATTTGTAACCTACTGTACATAGCAATATTCAACATACTTTTTTAATACATTTCTTTTACAATAGATGGGATTTTTGGTTAATAAAGTTCTATTCGAAATAAACTAGTAAATGATTTTAATTAATAATTATCACAAAACATTTTTATATATTAAACAATACTTCATACACATTTTTATTATTAATTAATTTTTATAAACTAAATTCTACGTTTAGTTGGATGCTTAGTTATTTCGTTTACTTATCTTCTAAGCAGTCTTCGTCCGAATCACATTGTTCAATGTAGCATGTTTTACACTTTAAACCCTGTTTTCGACAGCTGCATGCTGGTCCATAAGTTTTCATGCACGCACATGATTTTTTTTCCAAAATCATTACACATTTTCACCTAATATTGTGCCCACCATTAAGCATTATAATATACCTAGTTTGCGATATTATGCTAGTGTGGGACAGGAAGTTATTGTTAATATTGTAAATCGAGTAAATAAATAAACAGAATATCGTCTATTAATCCTAATAAGATGTTTATAATTTTACAAATAGTGATGGTACGTCGGAAAACGAAAACGAAGCGCCTAGTACGGTTATCGTCGATCAATCGTTAATCCCAATTGATGAAAATATCATCGATTTCAACAAGTGTTCAATTAATATAATTTCCTAGGGGGGGGGGGGCTGTATGAAATATAAAACCCGTTCAAATACACCTATACACCATTCCCATCCCTCTCATCCCCTCTTATTTATGAACAGTAACGGCAGTGTCGACGATGTAATTAACCGATCAGAGAATTAATGAAGACGATAGTGACGATGACGATAAGTATATTCAGTACCTGCGCTGATAAACTACGTTTAAAAATAATTTCACATAAACTACATTGTTGTTAGTGTAACGTATGCTGTTTAATGTTTATAATGTTTTTGTAATGTACCTAATGTATTCTTGTATTCTTTGTTTTGTTGTGTATTATTTCTTCTATCTTTTCGTACAGTATGTGTTCATGTGTATTGTGTACCTAATACTGTGTTATAAAAAATATTTTTTTGTAAATTAATTGTAATTTGTGTAAAATCATGTAATTATTGTACCCGAATTAAATACTTATTAATTAAAATTGTACGTTGTGTTTACTAGATTTGTTTTTACAATGATGGCTTTTAATTTTTTAGCAGCTCTCTAGTACAAAAATCGTACCTGAAATGGTAACTATATTGGGGAAAAAATATATCAAAAAAAATTTACCCCTTAAAAATCGAGAAAAACAATTTTAAAAAACGTACGTATTTTCCAACTTAATTTTTTTTAAATAGTCGAATTAGTTAGAAATATTTATGGAATATTCTCTAAACACAGTGGACAGTACCTTATCGGTACATTGGCAAGCCAAAAAACAATATCATGAACCCTTTCCCTGGAAGAGATAGAAATGTTTTCTTTATTTCAATTGGATGGAGCCACAGCTCATACGCCCCGTCGTTCTCGGGCTGTTTTGCAAGAAATGTTTCCTGGTCGTCTGATCTCCTATTTCTTATGGGGATACTTCAAAGCTGAAGTTTTCTAACATCGACCCAGAACCATTGAAGAACTAAAGAGGAGGCCATCCGATATGCTGGCGAAAGTGATAGAAAACTTTCGAGAATGGCTCCAAAATGTGCGTCGCTCGTCAAGGCAATCATTTGGACGATATAATTTTAAAAAAAACCTTATATAATGTAGTTTCTATAATACAAATTTTTTTCCCCCATCTTGTATCTTTTTTTTAAAATTCACCTCGGAAATGTGGGAGTCCATTACGCCGCACACTGTATATTTTACAACAATCGACCGTTTTTCGGTTGCGTGCCCGACAAGTACATATTGTTATAGGTATGTATCAGAAAAAAAAATGTCTGGAAGAGCACGTGCCCTTGGTACTCACTACCCACCTGCTACAGCTCTTAAAAATTAAAATAAATAAGTAATAACAATAATAATAATAATAATAATAGTTGAAGCATGAAGACGCCGGGAAACTTAATACGATAACGGCAGATGGATGCGACCACAGTCCATACGTTGAAAATGGCGCCAAATGTTTTTGTTTTGATTAACAGCTGTTGGTGTAAGTAGCGAGCTGTATCCACAGCCATAGGTATACCAAAAATTAAAAATTGTCACATTATTTTCATTATTTTATCAATTATGAAAACTAAATTTATATCCATATCGTTGAGTACTCAACGAGTATTTTTTTTTTAATTCATTTGAAATTCGCAACAGTTATTAACAAGTGACAACCGTTTTTAAAGGTTGTTTAGAACGAGATAAGATAAGATGGAATAATGTAAGCAAAGTCAAATTTAAATTTTCAACTTCCTTAAAAAATGTTTAGACGTCTTTTGGAACACGTCATTTAATTTAATTAGTTTTAACGTTTATAAAATAATAACAATCTGAAATATGGTTTTTGTTTTAGACAATTTCATACCATTGAGACGCGACGCGTATCGCCATTTCTGAACCCGAATTACTGATAACAGGTAACCAAACAAATAGTATTATCTTGTGTGCCAACGGAGAAATGATAATTTTATATTCTAAAATGTTGTTTTGAAAATATTAATTTTATTAATTCGATTGTTTATAAATAGTGTTTTAATAACTCGTAAGTACTTTATATACTATATGTTCATAGTAATTAAGATAGGACTTGTCTTCACAACGCCGTAATTTGATTTTTTGAGTATGTCGTATGGCTGTCGACCGAGTTTATTTATTAAAATTTTAACGAACCAAAACATTAGTAACCCAATTATAAACATTTTTACATATTATAACCATTTCAGGATAAATTTTGAAGTGTAAGTCGTGGATTTTTTTAAGGATTATCACAGTAGTTCAGTTCTTACAAATTAAGCGCAACTGATTTAGATTTATGTGCGACAACTCGAATACGACTTTTTTAATTTAATAAGTATAAATGACAAACAATTATGAACTTATTAGTTAAAAGAGTGTACGACTGTTTGGCATATTCATATAAGCAGTTTTAAGTATTATAACTTATTCTTATTTTTCATTAAAGAACTGAAATTATAATGTTTTTAAAATTGATTAGCTCTAATTAATTTTCAATAATATATATTGGCTCCAAATATTAACCATTTTTGGATGTTTTAAAGCTATTAATTTTTAAACATGTATTTGCCTACTACTGATCTATCTACTTGCTGACAACAAGAATTTTAAAAATGACTTACAGAATTCAAAAATTTGGTTCGGAGAAAAGTTACACTGTGAAATTATTGTGCAATTATGTTCTGAGAAAAAGAGCAGATCACTAAATTGACTATTTTTCTTACCAGAAGCTTAATTTGATTTTTATTACATAAACTAAACTGATTGTCATAACTCAGTTTGATTTATTTATATTTTGTTGTTATTTGTTTTGCAATCAATTTTAAGTTTAAATGTTTTTTTTAGGTTATGCTGAGATTGTGATTGTCGACTGAAATTATGTATTAAGACAACACTGAAGCAGTAAGTTCATCAAAAGCATTTTTTGTAACCAAAATTTCATATATTTTTGTGCCATTTATCAATTTTAATAAATTATTGGTTATTATAAGAACACATAATATATTTAAACAAACCTTATAGATTGTATTGTAAATTATGATTGTACTATGATTTTGTTAAACAACCCAACAACAATGAACAGTTCCGGTCAAAGTAACGAGTCCGTAAGTAAAGTGTGTGGCGATCTTCTAAGTAGTTCGGCATGGAGTGCAGTTATACATCAACCCGCACATGATTCGGACTTGGAAGACTTACCGTCCACGGTAGATATGGACGCTATTAAAAATCCGATATCAACACCACACAATACAATAAGTAGCCAAGTCGCTGATTCTTCTGAGTCGGACTCAGAGTCTGAATCTGAATCGGAAAAAGAAGAAAAATATTGCACTAAAAAATTTGGATATTCGTCTGTGGATGATGATAATATTGACGATTCGTCAGATACTTCGTTGTCATCATATATGCCTTGGTCGAAAAGAAAAGCTTTAGATAAACAAAAAAAAAGTAAAGATTCCCATGATTCAAGTTCGAGTTCTAGTGACGAATCGAGTTCATCATCGAAATCAACAAATTTTCCAATCAAACAGTCGGTGGTCTATGAACGCACATCTAGTGAAGCATCGAAAAAGAAAGACTATTGGCAAGATGAAACGAAAAAAACATATTCTTCCAGTTCAGATCTTGATAAACTAGAAAGCATAGATTCTGAACATTTACAAGTTATCAATCAAGAAGATTTAGCAGAAATATTATCTGATGTTGAAAACCAAAATTTTTCTAATTGTTTTGATGATGTCCAGCCAAAAAATTTAAGTGACAGTAGTGATTCTAGTGACACTGATATTAAAGATCAAGTAGTGAACGACGCAATTATTCGTTTAGATAATACATCAGAAGATGAAACTGAAAAACCTCCTTATTCATCGAAGTTGTTAGAAGAATTTGTTGAAAAGACCGAAGGTATGACACAACGACCAAATCCTAAAACACGTGCGAGTTTATCAGAAAAAAAAGTTACAATTGAAAAACAAAAAGAAAATTTAGTTAAAAGAGGCAGAGGTAGGCCAAAAGGTTCAAGCAAAGGACGAGTGAATTCGCAAATTATATTACCCAAATTGTCGGCCAATTTCAAGCGTGGACCCGGTAGACCGAAAAAAATGCCTCCTCTGTTAGAACCAAACAGTCCAACGGTTAAAATTATAGAAACTGAAACTCCAAAAAAAATTGTAATTGATATTGAAAAGAAAAAGAAAAAACATAAAAAGAAAAAGAAGAAGAAGAAGAAACACAAGAAACCAGCGAGTCCTAAATTTATTGCAGAAATGGAAAATCTCGTTGCCTTATGTATTCAGTGTTTAAACATTTCCAAAATACCTGATAGTATTAGAGGAAAATCCAGTTCATTAAAATCTAAGCAAAGGGACAGATCTAGTAAAAAAAGAAAACTGGAAAAGACAAGTTATAGCGATAACGATATTGACAAAAAAAGAAAAAAAGGTGGATCCCCGGACACGTCGAGAGATTCGGAAACCACTAACGATCAAAGGTTGCCTTTAAAAAAGCGTCATTATCATATAACATCGTCGACTGGTATTGAAGTAGCATATTTGGATGATGTATCTAGAGATGAAAATTCAGGAAGTAGTGAACTAGATAATAAGAGAGTAAAACCGCTGAAAGTAAAATCAGAAACTAAGAAAAAATCTGGCTTACGGAGTAACTCTGCTATACCTGAAGTGAAAACTAAAGAAAATGAAAAAAAGGAAGAACCCAAACCTAAGAAGAAACCGCCTGCAGGAATATTTGTACCGACCGTTGAAATGCCGAGTTTACAATTAAAGAAAAAAGTAGACGATAAAAAATTAAACGACAGTGTTAAAAAGTTGAAGACTATTAAGTCTGGAAAAGAAAGTCCACTTGGAAAGTTGAAGAAGAGGAAAAAGTGTATTAACCGTACTGGTTTTCCGATGAAAAAAAAGAAAAAAAAGCGCATAGAAAATGCAGCAGTTTCCGAAGACGTACACACCAAACTAAAAGTTATCGATACTCATCCAACAAAAAGTGAATTAACCGAACCCGAAAGAAGAAGTAGTCGAGCAGTCGTTCTCAACAAATTAAAAGTAAAAAAGAAAGACGAGAAAGAAGACAGCGACGCGTCCAATGTTAGTATACCAAAAAAGGTAAAATTAGATCAACAAGATGTCAAGCCACAGAAAAAAAAGCTGGATAAAAAACACACTATCCAATCTTGGAACTACAGGAAGTTAAAAACAAATGTGTACTATGATTTTAAGCCAGTTTGCACTTACGAAGCACAAACCTGTAACTGTAAAGTTCCAACAGAAGGTAAAGGGTGCACCGATGACTGTTTAAATAGAATGATATTTGCCGAGTGTTCACAGGATCTTTGTCCATGTAAAGAAAAATGTTCAAATCAACGTCTTCAAAAGCATGAATGGGCGCCTGGTTTGGTTAAATTCATGACAGAAGAAAAAGGATGGGGTATTAAAACTACCCAAGAAGTTAAAAATGGTGAACTTCTATTGGAGTATGTCGGTGAAGTGGTCAGTGAACAAACGTTTAAAGACCGCATGACTTCGATTTATAAGAGCGACGTCCATCATTATTGTTTAAAACTAGACGGAGGATCTGTAATCGACGGCCATAGAATGGGAGGCGAAGCGAGATTTGTTAATCATTCTTGTGAGCCCAATTGCGAAATGCAAAAATGGAGTGTAAATGGACTATTTCGCATGGCATTGTTCGCTCTCCGTGACATACAACCTGACGAAGAGCTGTGCTATGATTATAACTTTTCGTTATTTAATCCCGATGAAGGACAGTCATGTAAGTGTAACTCTCCTAATTGTAGAGGCGTCATCGGGGGAAAATCTCAAAGAATATTGTTACGATCCCCTAGTATCATGACAAATTTACCGTCAAATAGAAATCGTTCTAGGAAAGCGGCTCCAAACACAAATACATCACCGAAAAAATCTACTTCTATTGTTAGTATTCAGCAAAAACTTGTTTCTAACGCTCCTATAGTAATTAATCAAGAAGAAAAGGAATTGATTTTCCTGTATAAAGTATGTTTGTACAGAAATATTATGAAAATAGATAAAATACGAGCAAAACGGAGAGGTAAAGAAAATAAACCCAAACATCCTGAAGTTTTTAGAGCGCAAATGAACGCTCTCACTAATAGTTATTCGGTTAGAACTAGAAGATTAGCAACCGCTCAAAATGATCCGGAGATGGAGAAAAAAGCAAAACTAGCTACTATTTTTAAACAGTTATACGATAAAATTAGTAACTCCAAAGAGGAAACCGGTGAGTTACTTGCCACGCCGTTTGTGGTATTACCATCAAAACGCAAATTTCCAAGTTATTATCAAAAAGTCCAAGAGCCTATTGATTTGATGACTATCGGTAATAATATTGAGAGTGGTGCTTATGATACAGTTATGAGTTTTGATTCAGATATTTTAAAATTGCTTACAAATAATATCAAATATTATGGACGAACTTCGGATTTAGGAGTTCTGTCTACACGATTAAGAAAAATTTATAATTTAGCAAAAGTCGAGTTTGTACCGAAAATCGAAGAAATATTAGAGAAACCAGTTCCAGAAGCATTCATAGCAGAAAAAAATAATCCCGGAGGAGACCAAGACGACGTGGTGAGGTGTATTTGTGGTTTGCACGAAGAAGAAGGTCTCATGATTCAGTGTGAACGTTGTCTAGTATGGCAGCATTGTGACTGTATAAAGGCCGATCCAGGCAAAGTCGATAATTACTTATGTGAGCGATGCGATCATCGTCAAGTCGATTATGAAATACCGTTGCCGACTCCACCAAGCTACGCAGAATCAAATGAAGCACACTACTTAACATTAATGCGAGAAGATTTACAAGTCCGTGTGAACGACACAGTTTATGTTCTTAGAGACATAGTAAATCCTGAAACCGGTAAATCACATTCTTTCAAAACGATTAAACACTTTAAATATTCAGATTGTGATATATTTAGAGTCGAAAAACTTTGGAAAAACGAAGGGGGCGAACGCTTTTCTTTTGGTCATCATTACTTGAGACCACACGAAACTTACCACGAGCCTACTAGAAAATTTTATCCTAATGAAGTCGTCAGAGTTCCTATTTATGAAAAGATCTCTTTGGATCTTATCATGGGAAGATGCTGGGTTCTCGATCCGTCAACGTACAGTAAGGGCTATCCTATTGGTGCCGACCATGAACACTTATACATATGCGAGTATAGAGTCGATAAAGGAGCACGGATGTTTGCCAAAATGAACAAATCGAAAAATCCACCAATTTGTACAAAGAGTTATGCTTTTGAAAAGTATGACCAAAAATTAAAACTATCCAGAACTTTTGCTCCTCATGGTCTTATGGTGAAAGTATCAAACAGTACAGTGACAGCTCGGCCTAAACACTCTGAGGCCATTCAAACAGCTAAAAAATTATCAAAGGCCCAAGTTTCAATTAAGAAACAAAGGTTAGACACGCTTTTGTTAAAACTATTGAGTTCGCTGCCTGAAGAAGATAAAGTTGATATGACATATTTATTAGAACCCGGAAGGAGACATCGGAAAAAGCCTTCATTTCTGGAACTTTGATATTGAGTATTATTATATTGTTAAAATATTTGTTTTGATTAATTGTAACGACAAATTGTAAAGTATGTTAAATTTTAAACTGTTCAGTTCACTTTTTATTTTGTATATATTTCTACATGTATAATGAAGTTACTAATGTTTTATCTTGAGCACTCTTTACATCTTTATTATGACATTAATTATTAGCCTTAGCTTATGTGTATTTTTCTAGTTTATTTGTTAAGCTTAAATATATTACATAAAATTTGTTTTAAATATATTTTTATTATTAATTTAAAATATTGTTCACATCCATCATTCGATTCCATTGTTTTTTTAAACACAAACTTTTTTTGTTAAGTTGTAAGTTATTAAAAAGTAAATAAAATAGTATTTACAAAACTGTATTATTAAAATTAAATATTTTAACTAATAAGTATTACATTTTTTATCATCTTAGATGTTGGCATTTTAACCTAATAGTAAAAATTATCATTAGACTTAAATAAAAATTGTTAGGCTTTTTTTTTATTTCTCATACTGTGCACTCTGCGCACATATTGATTAGGTTAGATGAAGTAAAAATTGAATTTTAAACACAACATTGGGAACCACAAACTAACATTATAATGTATTGAATAAAATATAATGATAGGGATTTCTATTTTCTTGTTATGTATGTTTTGTACAGACTAGTATTGAATGAAGATCCGACATCGTGGGTAATAGGTACAATAATAGCCAGCCAATGGAAACATGTGCAATGTCAATGTTGTCGGATATAGGTCCCAGACCTATTAGTAGTTAAGAAAATGAAAACTCAACTTCCAATGCACTACAAAGAAAATGTTTTAAAGAATGTCGTTGTGAAACTAAATCCGAAGAAAGATGTTGAAGAAGCTGTATTGTTAAATTTTCATTTTGATTCAGTGCCTGCCGGAACCGGTGTTAGCGACTGGGGTGTTCAATGCGCGGTTATGATGGAACTTCTTTGAGTCTTAGCCAAATGCCACAATTTGAGGATACCGATAATATTTTTATTCAATGGTGGGGAAGAAATAGGCTTACAAGTATCGCATGGTTTTATTACTCAACATCCGTGGACTAAATACATAAAATATTTCATTAACCTAGATAGTTGTGGAGCAGGCGGCAAGGAAATTATGTTCCAGACCACTAAGTCGAATTCATATTTGGTGGATTTATATGCTCACTTGGTACGCAGCCGCAAGGCCAAGTTATAGGTGAACAAATCTTCCAGACGGAAATCCTTCCATCGAATACGGATTTTAGATTATTCAGAGATTTAGGAAACTCATCGGGTCTAGATTTGGCTCACTACAAAAATGGATAAGTTTACCATACTAAATATGATGACTTGAATCAAATTGTACCAGCAGTGCTACAAAATACCTATTAGCGCTGAGTATACATTTCTCGTATACAGAACTATCGGGAGTGCTATATAATTTCACAGTTGCTCTGGTATCATTTATTTCTATATTTTTGTCGTTGCGCCAAACAACAATTACAATGAATCATAAAATATACAACTTGCATTTTTAACTATCTTAGCAGGGTCACTTTGTACGATTTTACTTTCTTCTTTATCGAGCGTCTTAGTGGCATATATTCTGGACATGCTGGGATGTTCTACGAGTTAGTATAACAACAATATCAATTTAATTGTCAATTTTGAAATTTCAATATTAACCATATTGTTAGTTACAGTTTTAAATACAGTTACTGTTAAGTGAATATGGTTTTAATAAATCCACAGTAAATATTACAGCATCTTGTGAATGGGTTGTACACAAAAATATCATACTTGACAATGAATTCCAAGAATTAATAAATGATTCTCCATTGTGGGTCCATGTAAATTATGCTGTATCTGTCTAAGGTGTTTATGTATTTGTTAATTGAATAAAGGTTTAAATTATTGTAGATCTACCTATATAAGTAATATTGCTCAATTTTAATTTTGTAAATCTGTTATACATTTTTATATATTTTATTTATAAGAAATGAAAATATATCTTTAAAATTTATCATTAAAACCAAATTGTAAACTGTAAACAAGTACTTGCTCATTATTTTTATTTATCAATACTTAATTATTTATGTTATTAGTATTGTATGTATACCAATTATTCAAACTAGGTAATTTTATATAAAATTTAATTGTATTCATTTTAAGAAAACAATAACCGTTTTTTTCAAAAATTGTAAACAGAACGAAATGTTGTTAACAGTTATATAAATAATGTATATTAAAGTTAAAATTTAATTTTTGCTATTTTATTAATATAGTTTTAATTAAAATAGATAATTTTAAAATTATATTTTATTTTTAGAATCCACATTGTACCTATGAAATATTTATTATTATACACCTTGTCTAGGACATAGGACACAGTTGGCTTCTTCATGGGTGAGGTCTTAGCTCTAGCTATTGCTGATGACGTGATCTAAGTGGCAGAAACGCCAGCGGGTCTCAGTTAGGTTGACGGATCGTATGAAAGAATCAGGCACGAGGTTGAATCTTTCAAAGAGCTAAACTCTTACCATGATACCTTCGGGGAGTGATCATCGAGTGAATGTTACCCAGGAAATGTACTCCGTTTAGGGGTCATTGCAAACATAATAATAACCGCTTCGTTGTAAACTACAAAAATAAAAGAAGACTAATAAGTAATATGCTAACGTTTGGACATAATGACTTTCTAGTGAGCCTAAAATAGATTGTAAATTCATTCGATTGACCAGTCATCTGTATTCTTTCTCAATTGGAAGTCTGAACATTTTATAAAAGACAAATACTATTAATCACAATTCACATCAAAGTAAAGCTTGGAAATTATTTGTATGCAAGAGAAGTCAATTCTACTATGTGACTCATGTTTACGGTTTACAAAGATATAATAAATAATAATTTTGAGTAATCACTAATCTCAATCGAGAAGTTAAATTTTAAACATTTATCCACGGTTAGAAAATATAGGTATGCCAGCAACTCGTGATAACCACAAAATGGCTTCAAGGGTTCTCGCGCTACCGGCGAACGCCACGTTAGAAAATGTTATCACGCAAGTTCCTGACATACCTCTTTACTATGCCTTTATCACGATGAACACTGATCGTGTTATCACTTAACTTTTTTTTGTTACAGATTTTAGATTAGCTGATAACACATTGGTTTAGCAATTTCATGTTTTAATTTATCCATATTGAGTCATAACAGCTCATAGAACTGTATTGTTTTTTTGTAAATCGTATTAAAGTCTTACATATTTACCTATTATATTGTACATTATTACCTAGTTTTAGTTTTAGTTCGTGTTGATTGGAATGGCAGCAATGGATAGTATCCTTTTTATTTACACACAGTCATACATTGATCATTATTATTCAAATGTATAATTATATTATTTAGGATAATTTAAACATACGAATACGGTTCATCGTGTACTTTATCTTTAGGTTCAATAAAAAATTGTTTTTTTCCTATTCACCCAAATAGATCATTTGTTTAACTTGAAATTTGCTGTTAAAGAATTGGAAAGAAATTCAAAGAAATGCGAAAAAGAAGAAAAGGCAGAAAAATTAAAAACAAAAAAAGCTATTCAAAAAGGCCAGATGGAGGTATGTCAACTAACAATTTATAGTTTACTTTATTAGTAAGTTAACCTCCGAGCATTCGTGCTGCGATGTTTAAACCGAAATTTAATTTCTGTATTTCAGTCACGGTGTTAAAACCGCGTATGAGAGCACTTGGAGGTTAACAGACTAGAAAAATTATAAATGTTTATTAAATATAGAAGAATATTGATCTAGCAAAAACTGTACAAAACCCTGTGATTGATAAAAGTTTTGAATTTATACGTAAAAACTAACAAAAAAATTAAAATATTATTTTTAAAGCTAAAACTAAAGTAAAATATAGTGTAGTTTCTTATGGACTTGATAAGCAAATATTATGTCATCATTTTTTGAAATTATTCAATTGCCCCATAATTCACCAACAGCTGCTATGAATATTCGGTGTGTAGTTGTAACTGGGCGTTTTCTTATTTTTGAAGAAGTTATGTAGTTTTTTCTACACATAATTTTTCCATTAAGATATATCAGTTAGAAGTAACAGATTACCTTTTATTCTGCCAATTTTTTTTATAATTAAATAATTTTTTCTTTGAAGGCAAGAGTTGGGAAGTGTGTCAAGAGGGTGTATATGTTATACACAACCTTAGACAGCAAACAATTTAAAAATCATTTTAAAACTAATACCTTTAAGTTTTGCATTGAAGATATAATAACAGCGTTTCTTATTTTTCTATGTATTCGTTTATTCAGAAAAATATAATATTTTTAATTTATAAACTATAATTAAATGAATTAGGATTTAGAAACCGTAATTTCCCTAGCAGTTACATCAATTGATAAATCCTTATTCTAGGTAGGTAGAGTAGCTTTTTAAAAACTTAATTTAAACAAAAACAAATGAGTTGCCCAAAAATAACATCGCATTAATATGTAGGGTACATTTTGTTTTTTTATAGGTTGCACGCATACATGCTGAAAATGCAATAAGGCAAAAAAATCAATCCATTAATTACTTAAGAATGAGTGCAAGAGTAGATGCCGTTGCTTCCAGAGTTCAAGGAGCTCTGACAACCAGAAAAGTATGTTTTATTTTAACATTGTAATTCCTAACCTAACGTAACTTTGTATCGACACTCATTGTGTAAACTAACAGTATTCACTTCTAAACGAACAACAATTCTTCTGCTCATTGTTCATCCGAGCTGAAATTACATTGGCAATTTGAGGATTCTTAGTTTTCATATGGAGAGTTGATACTAAGTACCGATTTTATGTACATATTTATTTTTTTATAATTATTTTTCAAGGATTTGTTTGAAAATTTAAACAATCAATTTATTATAACATACTGAATATACATTTAATTTTAGGTTACCCAAAGCATGGGTGGTGTCGTAAAAGCAATGGATGCGGCTATGAAATCAATGAATCTTGAAAAAATTTCATCTTTAATGGATAAATTTGAAAATCAGTTTGAGGATTTGGACGTGCAAAGTTCTTACATGGATAACACAATGTCTCAAAGTACTACAACTGCTGTACCACAAGGTGATGTTGAAAATCTTTTGCAACAAGTTGCCGATGAAGCTGGGTACGTACAACATTATATTTTTTTGATCATGAACAAATGCGTGTCCAAAAACAAAAATCTTTCAATAATTTTTCATTTATTTATGTTTTAAAGTTTGGAATTGAAAATGGAATTGCCGTCCAATCCAACAAGTGTCAGTTCGCTCTCCACTACAACTACAGAGCAAGATGAACTTACACAACGTTTAGCACGCCTCAGACAAGCGGAGTAACATTATTAAATGATTACTTACAATACTCTTGTTGGAATATTTTTTTATTTTAATATTTATCGTGGTTGTTGAATACAATACATAAGATATTACTATAACGAAACTATATGTACCCATTATTTGTTTATTTTTTATGTATTAATTCATTTTTATTTTTAGTACAACACTATAGTATAATATGAACATTACACCGAAAATAGATTATAAATATTCATAAAGACATTGTTATTAGTTCATACGTGAACCCTGTCGCTTGTTATACATAAGTAATAATTAATAATAACATTGTAAGAACAAGCATAATAATAAAATTAAATAGATATTTATAAACCTAAAGAAATATTACTATTTCCTAATTTCAGTTGACAAAGTCAAAATTGTTGTCAATAATTATATTCGATCAGTTTTGTTTTAGTACTGAGAAAAATTTTAATATTCGCCTACAGCTAAACAAATCTGTGATTGTGCCAAAAGAAAGTAAGAGATGTCAGTATTTATGTTATTACAAGAAAGTAATATTACATTGAATCATTACTTTGACCGCACTGTAGAAATATACACAAAATAATGTTACATTTATGAATTTGTTAAATTTCACATTGGTTTAGTAGTTAAATTATTAAGATTTTTGATAACGAAAAAGTGTGGCCGAGTTGGTAAAATATCATTTGAGCTTTATGACTATTGCTTATATATATATATTTGAAGTGAATTTTTTTTTATAAATAAATGTTTGAAACAAATAAATATTAGTAAATTGGCAAACTAGTTATATTGTCCACAATACATTTTTAACAAAACATAGTTAAACTTATTAGTTTTCAAACGATAGTCAAACAATTGTATTATTATGTCCATATTACATTCATGAAAATACAAAATTTAAAACACAAAAAGAGGTATTATAAATATATTTTTTGCTTTGAATATGTTTTGTACCAACAAATTAGTTTTTTTAAAGTAGTATTAAAATTATTTGTTTAATGTTCAATAACTATTTGTCTTTATAAAAGTTACTAAGTTTAAAAAATTAAATTAAAAAAATCTGATTGTTTCATAAGAAAATAAGTAAAAACCACTTTTTTACAACTAAAAATGATGAATACGATTGTCAATAGATAAAAATTTAACTCACGATCAGACTATTTCAAAATATAACATTCTTCAAATATTTTGAAAAAAAAAATGATTATATACATTGTAAAGTACACGACTAAACTCGTTTAATAAAAAAAAACTAAGTGAAATATTAAAAACTAATTAATTTCTTTACTACAGAAAAAAGTGGGTTTTTTAGTGGTAGGAAAGGAGGGTGCGACACTTTTGCGAAGAGGTTGTTTCTAAACATTGTTTTTTTGCACGAAATTACTGCGCACGCCTATGGAATGATTTTTATTTATTTATAAAATGTTATAATTGTAAAATTTAAAAAGTGAGGGAGTTATTATAAGTTGGGACAAGAAAAATCGATTTCATTGGGTCCACAAATCAATTTTGCATCCCTTTAATTTATTTTACCTAAGAAGGTTTATTGAGCACTAACATACAGTGATTTACTATTTCTCCCTCCTCTGAATAATATTTCTGCACGCGCATATATATTATAAAATACAATTTTCTCAGAGGATAATAATAACTATTGAAAATGTTGTACACCTATAATATTACCATATATGTATCTTAAGATTACTTAGAATATTACATAATTTATGAAGATTACCAGAGATTTTCAAAAATTATATAGATTCCACCCCTTGTTAGCTCTCTGACTTTTCTTATTATATTGTTCCTCTGAAAACTTTTTTATAAATTATTTGTAACTTTAAAATTTTAGTTCTCGACACCCAACTACTGTTGTTTCAAAATAATTTTATATAAATTATAACTTAAAAGCAATAAAAAAATATACACAAATTTTCACACAATTACATTTAAATTTAAAAAAAATATATATATATATATTATAAATATATACAGTATAATTGTTAAATGATTATCGTTTTAATTCGGTTTATTAGATTTTTTTTTTGTAATTAAGTGATCTAGTTGTTTGAAGGGCGACCTCTTTTAGGACAACGAATTGTGGGCAGGTTAAGTAAGTTGAAATGTTGCGTTCCTTGTTGGTTACCTAGTAACTTTATGGGTATTTATGGAATGAATTTTAGTGGCGGTGTATTAATTCCGTTACTGTGCATTTTTCCGGATAAGCTAACTCGAGTTTTAAACAATACGTTTCGTTTGTTTTTAATACGAATGTAATGAATTCTTATCCAAATCTTGAAGCTTCTATACATGCATTTGTAACAAGAACACTGGCAAGTATTAAGTGTATGCCCATTGATTGGCGCGGCCACACGCGGTTGGGAATCGTTACACGTATGACGGGTAACATAATAATAAATGTCAAAAAATGAAAGAATAAAAAGTTAAAAATAAAATACCAAGTAAAGAAATTGAACTCGAGCCACCCCCATACCGAATAGAAACGCTACCGACTCCACCCATTAGAAAAACGCCAAAGTTGAGCAGTCCTGCGCCTCTTAAAATGTGGTACAAACATCCGTGTAAGCATTATTTAGTGCTCTTCAGTGTCTCCGAGCACAACGTTTATTAATTATAAATATATATTATCCAACGCCTAACGCCTTTGATTATAGTAATAATACTTATAGTCAAATGTTATTTATGAATGAAACGTTGAAAATATCTGTAGTTTATTTGGATATTGGGTTCCAAGAGACGCCATGGAGGAAAATAACGGACGTAAATGGTTGCAACACAATAATATTGTAATGATTTTCCTCTCGTTTGGTTCGTGTGCGGTACTTTAGACAGCCCTGCATTTAGGTTTGTTGACAAACGCAGCTGTATTTTACTTTAACAACAACAACAACAACCCAATGTATTGAACGTGCGTCGTAAAAGTAATACAGCACGGTCATAAAATTACAATTTTCATGGTCATTGCCAATTTATTTGTTATACATTCTCTTGTGCATTCACTTTCTTAATCGGGAAAACTCATCAAACGCACAAAATGTTTACGAAATCGATGGCAATGGTACAGTTAAAATATAAAACCGCACCGGTGTTAATGCCGAAGTCAAAAAAAATAATGATTACACTTAACAGAAACATCGCTTCTCTGAAAACCTGGTAAGTACCTACTAAACATTTCTAGTAAATATCATGGGTTTTGTCTAGTCGGTATAACACATTTTAGTGTCAGATAAATCTAAAACAAGTCTAAAAAGAACGATTTAAATTTTAAAGTACCTATATATTTTTAATTTAAAAAAATATATATATTTATAGTAGGGGAGACGGGGGGGGGGCGCGCGTGTAAACTAAAATGTTTATTGTAAACATAATTTTACTTAAATCGTGATTTGTTTTTGGCCCATGTAAAATTAATATACTGGCTATCGGATTAGTGTTCATTATTCGATAATTAATTTTTTAGTTTTCGAATTAAATTGATTATTTTTTAAAATGCCCGACTCCTTGAAAATACCGCGCATCGTTTTTTTTTTTTTTTTAATTATTTTTTAGAACTGGTTAATTAATTATCGAATAATTTACACTAATCTGATGGCCAGTATATTTTTACACCAAACAAAAAAATAAACATCACGATTTGGGTAAATTAAGTTTACAATATACAATTTATTAGTTTACACGCACATCCCCCCCCCCTGTCACCCCTGCTCATTTGCGCGCCATTAGCCAAAATCAATGAGTGGTATTACCCCATTCGATTTTTTCATTAGAATACAAGTGTAGTGAGGATTCAAAATATATACATCATTTGACTATGTATTTAAATTAAACCTGAGATAATGCTCAACTTAATTTGTTCGTGTTGCAACTTGCAATTAAAAATCATGTAACATAATTTAACTTACCTCGTTAAACACCACTATTTTTTTTAGCACATACGCCTTCCCTGACGTTTGGGCTTGTATCCCAGAAAATTATGTTATCAATGTTAACATTATTTTGACTGTTGATAAGTTGTATCAGCTGATCGTTTTTATCTACTATCTAGTATCTAGTAACCAAACGATATTATTGTCATATACGAGATATAGCAATGCGTGTTATTCCCCCAGTCTCCCTATAAAGATGGAAAAACCCATGGGATTTGGGAATAAATAATTGTATCTTGAAATTTAGTTTGTATTAAAAAAGTTATTTGAATAAAATTCAACTAACGATATTTCTTTAATACTATTACTATTGAACACTCGTTGACAATGTGATGTAAGGTCATTAACTCCGATCAAGGTATCGAATAGGTAATGAAAATAACACACAAAGTGAATTAAAATATTATAAACGGTATATCTAGAGAGGGGGCATAATAAAATTGTTTCCAGTGCAAAACTGTGTAATTAATTAGTATTTACACTGTAAATATAATACCCCATTCAAGTTTTAATAATTTTTTAATTAGTATTTAGTTTTTTTTAAATTCAACTTTTGAAAGTTAATAAAGAATCAAGAAACCAATAGGTTAATACTTAAAAAATCAAACTATTGTTTTTCATTAAAAATGATAATATACTTTTGTGATCAAATTTATCGAGAAATAGCGGTCGTTCGCATGAATTGTGATTATAATTTCGTAAAAAATAGTTTATTATATTTATTTACCGTTTATATTTTATAAATGGTACTTGTAATGCGATGACTATCGAGTAAAAAACAGAGAGTTCTGTAAATAAATGTTTTATAGTTTTTTTAACGGTTAGATAACATAATATTTAGAGTGGTCTAAAAAAAATAATGATAACAAATTTGATCTCATACTTCCCTAAAGTTATTCTCTAAAAATTTCTCGTGAATGCATGGAAAACATCAGATCAAATTTGTTGATATTTTTTACACATACGAAGAATATATAAATACAGGGTGATTCACAAAGATTTGACAATTTAATTATTTTTTGTTCTAGTGAATATTTTTAAGATTTTTTAAATTATTATATATTGAGCTATAAACATTACGTTTTCTATGGCACTTAACTGTTTTACTCTTTTAAATTATTTTTTTGTTACATTTTTTAAAAAAAATTCAAGATTTTCTATTAAAACTAATTTGCTGAGAATTTTGAATGGGCCATGGCCAGTTTTGGATAATTACTTTTTAAGTTAGGTTAAAATATAAGACGGGAGGTGGAGTGCGGTAGAGTAAGCCCGTAGAGTTATTTTTAACTGCTCACATTACTCTACCGCACTACACCTCCCATTTTACACTTTGAACTTCAATAACTTTAAAAAATATAATTTTAAATTATCCAAAATTTGTTGTCGATCGGTCAAAATTGTGGGACATCCTTTATATAAATATTATGATTTATAGTTTAAGCTCGTATTATGTGTACAATGTGATTCATTATCCTATTTTATCTAATACGGAATACCGTATGTATAGAAATATTAATATAATACAATTTAATCATGTTATTGACGTGCGGGTCGTAAATTATTATTGTTTTTGATTAGCCACGAAAATAATTATTGTAGAACATAAATAATAATTAATGTTGTAATCACAGTTAATAATAATTGGGATAGAAGGTTGATATTCGATCTTACTTCATTGAACCAAGTCGCATCGCATCCATTATAGTATCAGGAAAAGGTGTAGAGAATTTACTCAGTGTTGAGAAACTAATATCATCATAGCTCGGTAAAATAGAAACCAAAGCAGTTTTTAATTATCAAAGTGTGTCGAAGAATGGAATAATCACCAAAACGATACCTTTTTGACTAATGGGGGATTAATAATGTGTTCTCTTAGAAATGAAATTTGAAAAAAAAATCTAACTGAGAATGAGACGTCTTAGAGATTTGTATTTTTATTCGTTGTAGTCCTCAGAACCACTGGCCACAATATGTGCTCTTAACCATTATTTACAGCATAATTAAATTGTTATCATTAAAGTTATTGAAGTTTCAAGTTTAGGGCAGGTGGAAAGGTGGAGTGTAGTATTATTTTTATCTACGCGCATTACCCAACCGCACTTCCCCTTTTTTTAAAACTCTTATAACAATAAAAATAGCTATCATAAACTGGTTATCGACCAGTCAAAATGTTTAGTACATTATTCTCAATTTAAAAACGTAATGAAATGTATGCGTTACCATTTAAGTTTCAATAGTTTCTATCGAAAAATTTAAGTGGGGGGGGGAGGGAGGAAACAAAAAAAAATGGTTAACATTTTTTTTGGACGAAATCAAATATACTTATCTTGTAAATTGTAAGATAGATTATTATAGGATAATTTACGACATGTTATATTTTGTAAAATTCGTGTTTACTTTCAAGGGGTGTTTCCGGCATGATTTACGGCGTGACTGGTTTTGTCTTGTTATGCTACATGACAGAATGGCGGGCTGTTCTGCAGTACGTGCCCTATTACAACGGCAAGTACGGCGATTTGGTAGAAGAAGAAAGAATTGAAGCTATTAAGTCGAAAGCCGAAGACATAGAACGCCATGATAATGCTGCAAAGGGCTATGCGAATTCGAAAACGGACAAACCGCAATCAGAAAATGACGCCAAGTAGTAATAGGACATATTATTACATACATTTATTATATGTATTTTACATAGTTTGAAAATAACTTAATTGGTCTCTTTCTCATTTAGTATCTAGAACGTAAAATATGTTTATACTAACTCAGTTTTTTATTTTGTTTTAAAATTTAATTTATACTGTTGTATTTAATAATAAATACTGCTTATGTTATTGATAAACTAGTCTAAAATCCGAATGATCCAAATTGATCCGATTTTTTTAAAATTCCCAAGTTTCTAGGTATTCGCTTAACTCGATGTATAACCTTTTTTTTCGTTAAGAGACTGTCTTTTGGTCATGTTTGCCAAATTCTTGGGACCCGTCGATATCCAATCTACTCCAGGACTTAGCTCATCCTAGACTCGTCGTCAAACATATACTGAGTCTGAGTACTGTTTTTAAGAAGCCAAACTTCTTAAGTACTTAGTTCAACATAGAGTACACTTGTGTTGGGTGTGTCACTCAAACTCGTACACTGCAAACGGTAAAAAAAGTTCCAATATAGTATTGAAAATACCACCTTCTTTGGTACATTTTTTCGGTAAAAAAGATATGAGCTTGATTAAATATATTCTACTCCTTTTGGTCGATAATGTTTTCTAATTCTTTCGTGCTAAAGTCCGAAAAATTTTAAAAGGTTTCAAATGGCAACCAATAAAATTAGGTAAAAAACTCTTAATTAATCTATTGTACAAAATGTGTATAGATAATAAATAAAATTAAGTCTACAAAATAAAAAATACATTTATTAGAGAATTGGCTCGCGAAAATACAATATAAATCGACGTGTCCAAAATAAAATTAGAACGACCAAATGAAAAAAAAAAACATGCCAACAATCAACTTGTGTCATCTACCACACATAATTGCACCTGGTTAGGTGTTTAAGGTGTGTTGGTATTTTAAAACTATGCTAAAAAAAATAATTTAACTTTACAAATACAAGGTAGTTTGTAACATAGCCGAATTGTCTATGTTTTACTCGGGTAACCCGTTTTCAAGATGTGCAGCTATGAAGTAATAACAAGGTTTACCTATTTGAAGGTTCATATTATATTTTAGCTTCCTGACCTTTTAGCTAACCTAAGAAGGTGTTTTTCGAGTTAATACACACACGCCTACGGACAGTGATTCGACTTTATTTATTTTAATTTTTAACCTTGACTGAATGGATTGAGTATAATACTTAATAATAATAAAATTTAAAACTTTTTTAAAATTATATCACAAAATTGTGAATTTAAAAATAAAGTATTAATATTTTTTTGAGTTTGACTTGGGAAAAAAATACAAAAAAACATATTTAATTATTAAAAATACTTCTTGAGATTCTAACAACTGTCATATTCAGAAAATATCGAATAGTTGTTTTAGACGAATTAATGAAAAACACTTTTAATTTATATTAAATCGCGTTGAGCGACCTGTTAAACTTACCGAATGACTTCAAATTTTGTTCATCTATTTTTCCCCTTAAAATATTCATTTTTAGAGCACCACCCTAATGAGCATTAGTGATGGAGTTCAAAAATCCGAAATTTTCCCAAAAACGCTATTTAAGCCATTTAAAAATCATGTAAGTATTAAATATTATTACAATGTAGGTAAAGCCGTGTAGCTAAGTATTGAAGTAAAATATGTTTGATTAATTTTTACTGATTATTAAATTACTATTTGGTATGTTTTATATTTTTAATAAAGAGATATTAAAAATTATAATTGGCGTTAGGTTAAAATCGCAAAGGTCGTCTCGGTATTTTTTTAAAATATATATTTGTATTTATAATCGCGAAAAAAAAAGGAAAATTTGATAATAAAGTTGAAATTCCGGAACATTAAATAAAAAAAATATATAAACATAATAAAAAAAGGTATTTAAATTAAGAAAAATAAAACGAGTATTTTCTGATTTTAAATGTTAATTAACATGCGACCTTTGCGATTTATTCCGAAAATAATATGAATGTATCTATCTGTAATTATTACCATTGATTATAAATAGTAATATTTATATAATATAAATTATATTAACTATCATACCTTAAACACAGACATTTTTCATTTAATCTGCGACACAATTGTGTGTTTATATTGGTATAACATAGCTTAATGAATAATGGATACGATTATTAGATGTACATTGAGATTCGAGTTAGCAAATATTTTGGCTAACAAACAACAAATTACCATAATTTATTATTATGAGCCGCAATAACACTTGTATCGCCATCGGTTTTAGGATATACAGATGAGCGGTGCCATACTAAAAAACGGCGACCGATTGTTTGTGGGATTCCCGCTGGCAACGGAGGTACCTTCGTCATAGTTTATCGACGGGGGGATGGTAAACTATGGCAAGGGTACCTCCAATGCCAGCGGGAATCCCACATAAAATAGGTTGCCGGTTTTGTGTATATGACCGCTTACCTGTATAATATTTTAAAATCATAGGTAGGTATCGCCCGCCACCACAGATTAGATAACAACAGCTGTATACACCGCATTATCTACAACGTTCATGGGTGTATAAATGAATAATTACTAATATTGTCTGTTTATACTGTGTATTTAAGAAAAATTAAATCATAAAAAAAATAATATTTCTACTTGTGTCATGCGTGTCGGTACATTAATTATTGACTTGTACTCTGTAGCGTTTTATTTAAATAGGTTCCGTTTATAAATTAAATCTGTTTTTAAATCGAATATGGAAAATCGGATAATATACTACTATAATTTACAACTACATATACCGTTTTGGACGAGGCTTTAATTTCCTTAATGAATCATACGAACAATACCGATTCGTTCCATACGGTGAGTGATTTTTTTTTCTATATTTTATCATTTAACAATATAATAACTAAAAAAATGGTAAAAAGTAACAAAAACAAATCGGTTTCAACCGAAATAAATAAGTAGTGCAATTCTAAAACCATCGATAGATATTTTTTTAACTTGTATCAGAAAAATATGACATTTATCGCATAACAGACAACATTGTTTATGAGTCATTCAGTCATGTGTTTCCATTTTTTCAGATGATAATAAGCTATGTGCCCACCAGCAATATGATAAATCATATTGTACATTGAACAATGAATAGTTGATAACATTTATTTTACTGCCAAGTTGACGTATTACATAATGTATGTTGTGTTTTAGACTAAGTACGGGACAATGTCGCAACATCGAAAGTACGAACCGTACTCGGATAAAGAGGATTCTATACCGATTGGATCACTTAATGTATTATCAGCTAAATACGAGGTAATTAAATAGTTTTACCACTTTTGAGTTGCACACTGTTAATCGTATCGATTCGTAATTTTAATAGCTTTGTATTATTATTATTAAAATTTGTCTTTTAGAGTTTGGATTATGAAGTCGTCGAAAACTACATCTATCGAGATGAAGAACGAAAAAAAGGTTATAAATTTGTCGTTAAGAAAAATTTTGCTCGGTGGGTCACATTCTTTTGGATTGGGTTGTTTACGGCTACCATCGGAATTATCATCGATATATCTATCGAAGTGATTTCCACTTTCAAGTTTGATCATGTCAAAAAAAGTATCCTTTTACTAATACACTGCCAATTTAACTTAAAAACTGTGAAATTTATTTAAGCAGTAGTTGAACAATTTTATTATTTTATGTTTCTGACAATATTTTAGAATTATAAATACAACAAAAATATATTGGCTGTATAATATTATGTAAACCATTTTTAAAATAATATTTCAACTTTAAAACTTAATAATTTAAAACAAATATGTACATTTTTGTTGAATAATTATTTATATTAATTAATTATTGTATACTTCCTTGACTTGGAATTATTAAGGTATCGACAATTGTAGCCAAAATAATTGCCTATGGCGGCCATACCTTATGTTGTTGGCTTTTAATATTGTTCCAGTTTTCATCGGATCAATATTGGTTGCTTATGTTGAAGTAAGCTAAAACTTCATTTAATGTTTTATTTGATTCAATGTTAACTTTAATAATGTATTGTTTTATATTTTCTAGCCCGTCGCATTGGGATCTGGTATTCCTCAAGTTAAATGCTATCTGAATGGTGTGAAAATACCGCGATTAGTGAGAATCAAGACTTTGTTTGTGAAAGTTATCGGTGTCATCACTACGGTGGTTGGTGGAATGTGTGGCGGAAAGGTGAATTTCATTTCTGATATAATTTACCTTGTTTCGTTAATTTTTCATGCTTCCATATATTCACAACAAATTTACTATACTGGCTCTTGTTTTTATTTAAAAGAATATTGAATTTTATTTGACTTGAAAAATTTAAATCCTTACTGTTGAATTGTAAAAATTGTAAAGAAAAATCAGGAAAATTCGAGAGTCCAAATCGGTCAAATGGGATAATATATGGAGCGGAATGTCCCAAAAAACTTTGTTTTTTGTCATTGGATGATTTCGTTAAGGTTTTTTTTTTTTCTTAGGAAGGTCCGATGATTCATGCGGGAGCTGTTGTGGCAGCTGGCATTTCTCAAGGAAAAAGTACAACTTTCAATGTTGACTTTGGAGCGTTTAGTTATTTCAGAGAAGACCACGAAAAGAGGGATTTTGTATCTGGGGGAGCGGCAGCGGGTGTCGCGGCTGCTTTTGGTTCACCAGTCGGTAAGTCTTTTCCTATCAAGATAGTAAGCTAACCTGAACAAGTGCTTATAATAAATTAATATAGACATTTACCTATTGAAATATTGACAAATAAACTTTTCAAGGTGGTGTATTGTTCAGTTTGGAAGAAGGAGCTAGTTTTTGGAATCAAGGGCTTACGTCGAGAATTTTTTTCGCTTCGATGATATCTACTTTTACGCTCAATTCCGTCTTAAGCGCATATCATGGACATCCGGGTAGAAATTTGTATTTGATGACGCCATTTTATTTATTTATTAGCAATAGCTATTGACATTTTTGTTTTTTTAATTTTATTAGGTGAATTAACTTTCTGGGGATTGTTGAATTTTGGGAAATTTACCGATTTTGCATTATCGTATACAATGTTTGAGCTGCCGATTTTTGTTTGCATGGGAATTTTCGGCGGACTGACCGGAGCGTTGTTCTGTCATCTTAATTATAGGTTGACTGTTTTTAGAATGAGGTAAATTATTTCATAATAATTATATACATGTTTTGGCTGTATTTTAACATTTATAAATGTGGTACAAACACTACAGAAGTAAAATGTTTTTTTAATGCATTTATAGGACATTAATCAGTCCTTGGAAAAAAGTATTAGAAGCGGTTTTCGTTTGTGCGTTTACAGCGACCATAGGTTTCTCGCTATCTTTATGGCAAAATGACTGCAAACCGATAGGACTCGATCCAACAAGAGTTCCCGTTCAGGTATTAATGTAATTCTACGTTTTTTTAAATATTTTTATATATGCGAACAGTTCTTGACAAAATCTTCTAGTTAAACTGTAACGATGGAGAATATAGTTCTATGGCGTCGCTGTGGCTTCAAATCCCTGAAGCATCTGTCAGATCCTTTTTCCACGATCCAGCGGGTAAAACAAATGTTAATATAAGGAAATTAAATTTAAAAAAAAAATAAAATTTTTTTGATATGAATGTAGGATCATTTGATATATCTACATTGGTTTTGTTCGCTCTTACATACTATTTCCTATCGATTTGGAGTTACGGACTAAGTGTGAGCGCAGGTTTGTTTATACCTATGTTGGTCACAGGAGCAGCATGGGGACGACTTATCGGAATTGCCGTCCAAAGTATTTATCCGGATTTGGTACGTAACCGTTTTTAGTTAAAATTACGTATTTTATATTCATATATTCATTTTAGGACGTCGGAAGATACGCACTAATTGGTGCTGCGTGCCAACTAGGTGGTGTTGTTCGTATGACGATTAGCCTTACGATTATTCTGATTGAAGCAACGGGCGATATAACATTTGGTCTGCCGCTTATGATTTGCCTGCTTACAGCCAAATGGATTGGTGATTATTTTACCGAGGTAAAATACTATTATTTATTAACAATAGTTATTAAAAATTATTCCTTATTAAATTTGGAAGTTTTGTAGTTCGTTATTTTTTAAATAAATAGTATTTTCAGTTCACATCTTATTGGCAATCAAACTGTAAATGACACATTTGATATGACACCTATGTTAGGTTTAAATATCAAATAGGATACTTGTTAACATATATAATGTATGTATATTTTTTTTTAGAGTATTTACGACATTCACATTCAATTGAGTGGAATACCGTTGATGGCTTGGGATCCACCGCCGTTATCTTCAAATATTTATGCTAGTGAAGTGATGTCTCATCCTGCGACGGTGTTTAAATCAAAAGAAACTGTTGGCAAGATAGTTGATACTCTTAAAAAATATACCTATAACGGATTTCCGGTAGTCGACGATATCTATGTTACTGAATCGGTAGTTGTTTTATACTTAATGTTAAAATTTAATTCAAAAGTTTTTGATCTGTAATTTATAATATATGAAAACGTAGGAAGAAGGTAATTATAAACCAAATGGTCGTTTGCGTGGTTTGATACTTCGATCTCAGCTCATCGTCCTGTTACAAAACAAAGTATTCAACGAGGCACTAGATGCTTGGGACAACGTAACTCCAACGACGTTCAGACACGACTACCCCAGATATTCAAAAATAGAGGTAATTGAAATAAATGACCTATTGTACGTTGACATTTCCAAGGCCGTAAATAACAAACATTATCACATTGGCGTAAATCAAATCTGGACATTGTTTATTTAAATAACAATTCAAATAATAATAATAATAAAAAAAAAAAGTATTTTTAATTAAACAAATACCCAAATATTAAGAACTATTTTTAAGAATTAACTATTTGCAGTAGTTTGAATATTTTTGGGTTAAGATTTGGGTAAATTTTTTGTTTTAAATTCTTTATATGTTACACATTAATTAATTGCTTATTAATTTGTTATTGTTTTTTAGAATATTGAGGTCTTAGACAGTGAGCGAAACTATACGGTTGATCTGTTAAGATTTATGAATCCGTCCCCATACGTTGTGCAGCATGTAAGTTGAATACAAACAACAACTTAATATTATAATCTAACAATTGTCTTAAAAACGAGGCCAATAGTTTATATTGAAACTTTGAAAACATCAGCATATAAACCTTGTATTTATTTTGCCCAATTTAGATGGCGTCTTTACCAAGGATATTCCGCCTATTTAGAGCGATGGGATTAAGGCACATTGTCGTGGTAAACGACTCAAACGAGGTTTGTCTAATTTACTTTTACCATTCCGTCATCATATAATATAGTTTATACGGGTCTCGAAGGCCCAAAGCGGCCGTCATGAGACTATTTCTGTACGAATTCACTTTCGGAGCATGTCATCAGTCTGTCATTATAGAGTCTGTTTGGCGGCTCCTTTTCTCTAGACGGCCAGCAAACAGATAAGAACTGTTTGATCGACTGTCAAACCAGTAGCAGACAGCTAACACACTGCCTACCTTATCCATTCTCTTTCTGCCATAAATATTATTATATAAGATAGAAAATGTTAAGTCTAATATTGGTTATAAATGTTTCTTCATTTTAATTATAGGTTGTCGGGGTCGTTACTCGTAAAGACTTGACTCGTTACAGAGAATGGAGACATCGAGGTCAAATCGGAGTAGTGGAACTTAAAGTGTCTGCTAAATTGTAGAAGTAGTTGTTTATGTCGATAAAACATGTATTTATTCAAAAACATTGACCTAAAGTTAAAATTGTTACCAATTCAATTATCATATATATTATTATTTTATAGTTATCGTATTCTTATATACATTATCAGAAAACTAAATTATTATTCTTTTACATATAAATATAATTATTCCTACTGTGATAATTTTGTTTGTTTCTTTTTAGCTTTAGATAATATTATAAATATATATATATATATATATTTTTATATTCATAGTTATTCACATTCTTATATTTATACTTTGTTGTAAATAATGACTATAATAAAAATAAAAATAAAGTTGTTTTATGATAAATGTTCAACAATTGCTTATTATTAATATTGGCAGTGAATTTTATAATCGATAAAAAATAAAATAAAAGTGTAGATGTTTTTATAGTAAGAGATGACTTGTGCTAACAACATTACTATTGTCATATTATGTAGTGTGACATGGGAATTAAAGTTGTACCAGCCAGTTGTAATTCATTAAGAGTGTTAACACTTCAATAAATACTTATATTAAAATGTATTATCATTTTACATGATTTGCCAAGTTAAGCTCACTATATTGAATGTTCAAGAAAAATTAAATATAATAAGTTGTGGTAAAATTGAGGTGTTAAATGTTAAGATCATTGCTAATTGATGATATATTTGAAATTAAAAATCAATACATAAGTATACATTTAGGGATACAATTTTAATTAAAAATTTGTTATTTTGCTCTCAATAAATAAACGTACCAAAAATTATACATAAATATATATATATATATATATATATATATATATATATTTATAATAAAAAATAAAACAGTTGAACATTAGCTAGAAAATAACGTAAAAGTTATATTATATTCTAAATAATATTAAATTTGTGACGAGTATCACGCCGTTATGAATATGAGTATCATAAAATTGTACAATTAATATTGTAAACTTAATTTAGTATTTTATCGATAATTTAGTTACAATAAATTTTTGTCTAATATATATAATATATTAGGTTAAAAAACATGTTGGGCACATCAAGCCTATCCCACAGTAATGATTTTATTTAACTAATGACAAATACAAATTAAGTATTAATGAATATTTTAAAATTTAGGCAAATCAACTTCAATTATTTTAATAGGAAATAATATGAAGAAAAACAATGACACAAATCATTATTATTTTACCTTTTTAAAAGCGCTTATAAAGACCAAAATTGAAATAATAAAATTAAAGTTACCTAGCAATCTGGTCTTAACAGAATTTCCACCGGTTACCACATTCGTTGCACATTACAAACGTCGTCATAGGTTCATCAGCACTTCTCGTTTGGATTTGATTGTAGGTGCAATTTCGTTTTTTACATTTACCGCATTTCAGCAAGTCAGTTGTCGTTCCTTGAACAGTGGCCAGCTGAGCGTCGTCGATGGTCTCTTTGATGAGTTTGTTTCTTAATGTTTTCATCTCGTCACTGGCCATTTCTTCGGAAGTCATTTTGGCCAACTGAGCAGCTGTAATGGCACCGACAATGAAGTTGTTTCTTAATTGCGGGTTTTTAGCGTCTTTCAAGTTGGAATATCTACTCCTCACTCTGTTCTTATAACGGGCGTCAGTATTTTTGAACTCTAAGAAAATGGCGTCTTCTAATTCGTCTGCAAGTTCTTCAACCGACGCGCAACCACTATTTTCATCCTCCGTTCTTAACGCCGAAACAAGTAGTTCGCGGCATTTTAAACGCACAGCATCCGTCGTCGATGGAGTAGGAAAGACTACCGGCTTTGGGGTGTCTTTCTTTGAATCGATTTTTTGTTCTTTTTCTTCGGATTTTTTTCTCTCTTTCTTTTCCTTTTTGGGTTCTTGCGCTGCCGTTTTGTCACCGCTAAGTAACTTTTTCCAATTTTTAATTAATGCTTTCGAAAAAGTGATTACTTCCTCGTCTTTACAACTCTTCCGAAAAGAATTCACCGTCATTCCCACTCGAGTTTTGGTAAGAATGTCCAAAGTTATAGGCAAATCTTTAAGGGCCTTTAGCAAATCGAGCGCTTGGGTTTGGTCGGCGTTTTCGTCCGACATATTCTGTAGTTTTTGTTGTATTTTTATTATGTCTTTTTCCACCGACATCGTTGTACTTATGTTGTATTCTCAATACAAGTGTGGATTAAAATATCGACCTTACTGATTCCGATAATAGTATCCCGCGTGAAATTAAAATTTAAGTATTTCTACAGTCAAAACATAAGACGGTATGAACGACTTTAGTACGTTGAAAAGAAAAAGCAATCGTGCAACTTCACTTAAAGCTATGGATTTAAATCGAATTGCTTTTCTAAGGTATTTATGTCAAAACAAAAATACGTGATTTGTAAAAAAACAAAGTGGATAAATTAAAAATTAAAATCGAAAAGTTGTTGTCGGTCGTCTTAGGTCCGTGCAGTTCTGTTGATAAAAACTAGGCTTTAGCTCGAAGCCTCTAGATAGTGCTACCAACGTGAAGTCCGGCGATTCCCGACTCTTGGCTACACTGTGTAATGTTACCGGCAAAATGATAATTTTTGTACTCTTATCAGTTTTAACATGGACATCCGACATGATAAATTTTTATAAAAAATTATTTAATTTTCATTTTGATTTAGTTGTAATAGTAATTTTTTTATATTATACCTTATTGGCTTTCCCCTACGACGACGATCTAAGTCCTAAATAAGGCTGTCTTTGTTTTTTAGAACTTTTAATTTACTTCACCTACCTTACACTTATTATTTATTAGAAATCAGTCATTAATGCCGAGCTTCCTTGAAGTCGCAAGTTTTTAAAATTCATCATTAATGAATAGAATTAATAAACATTTAAAATTGTCACATTTAATGGCATTGAAACATTGTTTATTTAGCACTTATAAATTATGTCGTTCGTGTCATACAAAAGTGAGTCTTTTATTATCATAGTAATTTTTTTTTAATAAAGTTTATTTTTTTGTTATTTACAATTAATATACAATGCAATCATTTATCAGGTCAATTGGCATGATAGAATATTTTCGGGTATTCAACCGACAGGCACGTTGCATTTGGGTAACTATTTTGGCGCTGTGTCCAAATGGGTGCAGCTGCAGAATGAAAACAGAGATGTTATATTTAGTATCGTCGACTTGCATTCAATCACCTTACCCTATGTCAGTTCTTAAGTGAACAGTACTTATTTTAACTATTTGGCTATTATGATTAGACAAATTTTGATTATTTTTTAGGACGCTAAAAAACTGGAAAAAAATGTATTGCTTATGACGGCCAGTTTAATCGCATGTGGTATTGACCCCAACAAAAGTGTTCTCTTTTTGCAGTCTCGGGTATGTAAGCATATAAAACTATTTCAGTAACTTTTTTTTCTCTTATTTAATTTTACTATTTGTATTTAGGTACCTGAACATACACTTTTAAGTTGGGTCCTGGGATGTTTGACTACTATGCCTAGATTAGGCCAGTTGCCTCAGTTTAAAGATAAGTCGTCAACATTAAAAGATGTACCACTTGGTCTATATTTGTATCCCATTTTACAAGCTGCAGATATATTATTATACAAGTATTAAAATCATTAGGTTAGTCATTTAAACTACTATACTAAACTTGTATTTGTTTAAGGGCTACTAAAGTACCTGTTGGGGAAGATCAGGTACAACATTTGCAATTAGCTCATTTTTTAGCTCGTACGTTCAACAAACGTTATGGCGTTACTTTTCCTGTACCGGAAATTATTTTACAAAGTAAAATAACTAATAGATTATTATTTTCCAAATAACATTTTTAAAATTTTTTGTTGAATTGTTTAGAGGACATTTCTTCAAGAATACGAAATTTACGCGATCCTACCAAAAAAATGTCAAAATCCCATCCTGACCCACGAAGTCGAATTGAAATCACTGATGCGCCTGATGTAATTAGGGAGAAAATAAAAAAAGCTGTTACCGATTGTACTTCAGAAGTCACTTTCGATCCAGTCAATCGACCAGGAGTTTCAGCACTAATAGCTATGCATTCCCTTGTCACTGAATCTTTGCCTGAAGAAATATGTGAGGAGAATACGTTGTTGGATACCGGACGGTAAATTCTATTAACTCGTTCCCTTGTCATAAACTCTAAGCTTATAATCAATTCAGTACTTGTTATAATATTTTAATAACTGTTTGAATTGATTATGTTAATTTTATATGATTTCAAAGGTACAAACAAGTAGTAACTGAAATATTGGTGGAAAAGTTTTCACCTATTCAGAACGAAATAGTTAAATTGATGGATTCCCCCGACTATTTATGTAATGTGCTTCAAGACGGACAACAGAGGGCTAGTTTAATCGCCGAAGAGACATGGTACGAAGTAGCATCCAAAATAGGCACTCTACCTAGAAGTTCAAACGAAAGTTTAAATTTATTTAATAACAAAAATGTTGATAGATAGTACACAATTTTTTGAATTTTTATTAGTTTTAAAAATACAATACTCCGAAATTAGTTGTTTTAGAACGCTACAACTATATATTCATAAATATAATATGATTGTTATATTATTGTAACATCTGATATAGGAACCGAAATCCAACTATATAAATTCACTTAGTATTTAAATTTTAATGTTTTGTTTTTTTAATTTTTATTAAAATAAGTGTTATTTAAACTGTACGGCGTTTGTAATGTAATTCATAGTAAACTGAAAGGTATTGCATTATTGCAATTATTACTAATTTGTAGTGTAAATTGTTATCAGTAATATTTTGTATACACGCCATTTATCGTTATCAGTTATCTCGTAGCTGCTGGTCGCGAGTTGGACGTAAAACGGCCTTATCAGCTTTCGCGACGTCTTTGGCGTATAAACGTAGGTATTACAGGAATTTCGGAAAAAATTGTTTTTCTGCGTACAATAATAAGTATAAAGGCCAAGTTGTACACATGATATGTGTATTGGTTAAATAAAGAAAACGGTGAATTCGTATTGGTTTTGTTTTTAATTTTGTTTACCGTCTTTTTGCGCTCCCGTACGGTGTGCTTTTGCAACGTCTTTGGACCGGGCAGTGTTTATATTCTCACTGGCGACGTACACCATACGTGTCGCCGACTCATCGACAAAAATCGTTGCATGTGTGTTCGTGTTGATGTTGTACAAGCCGCTACGTGGTTGTGTTCGGCACAAGTGAGAACTGTACGTTATTGCCGTGTCGTCCACCTAAGCCGATTATTCGTTTCGTATGGTTCCTTACGTTAAGTACCTGTCGTTTTCTTGTCACTGATGTACTGTAATTGAACCTGTCCGTTTGTCGTACCGAGCTATTCACCATGGGTTGTAAGTATAATATATTGAAATATTGAAGCGTTATTTTGTTTTGTATATTTGTATTTCGACTTGCCGTAAAATATTCCACTTGATGGTGTACTTTCGCCACTCGTTCAAGTCGCTATAATTATATTTCACTCGAACCGTGTAAACTTCCTTTCGAAAATGTACTCGTGGCCTTTTTTTTCCTACGCCAGAACCGTGTTTTCCGTGTAGGTGTCGATCGTTTTCAGGCATTTTCGGTCGACTAAATACTTGACATCTTTCAAAGTGGGTCAGTCTGTGATCGGAAAACCGTTATTCCCCACAAACGTGTTACGGGAATCTTGGTGTTTAACTGTACTTGCCGTACTTTTAATTAGCGAACCTAATTGGCCAGCCATGTTATATGCTAGAGCCATACTTCAAAGACATTCGTGGAGTCCAATTATTAAATGTTTAATGGTTTTGTTTGTACCCGAGCCAAGTTGTAGAAAATTGTTTCAATTTTATATTTCGTTTCTACTTGTATTAAATGTCACATTTGGCTTATGAGTTACCTACTTGGCCTCGATTGTTAATCTGGACGTTAAAATTTTAATTCACCAAAAACTTTTCAAAATTTTATTTATATTACATATTGATGTGATATGTCTGGTCAATACCAAATACCTAAGTGTTATGTGGCATCAAATTTTGTTTTGTTTGTTCCTTGAAAAAATTACAAACGACCATTTTCAAGATCGTCTGTTAAGAATTCTATCGTTGAAATTCAGTAGTAAAAGTTAGATTTTCATATCACTACCTACTGTTGTGGAGAAATTATTAACCGATGAAAGACTTCCTAATAAAGTTTGACGTTCTGATGTATTGAGATGTTATTTATATCTTATTATATTGAGTGTAAGGCATATTGGGTTTGATTTAGAAGGAATTTTGAGTAAAAGAAAGCGTTAAAAACGGTACACGTATGTAGAAGAGTTGGCTTGCCTAAGTGTAATGCTTGAACTATTATGTAGGTGTTAAAAAGTAGAAAAAAATTGGCAAACTAACCAATTTTATTGCTTTTAAAACGGTGTCTATGAACATAAAATTTCCTTTGTCAATTTATATTCAATGAAACAAACACTCTACAGTATAATCCTATTCGTATGTACGTTTAATTCAATGAATTTTTTTTCGTGACTCGTACTATAATTGTTTTTAGTAACTATTGTATGTTAGGCATATTATATGATTATAAATTAATTCATTGTTTTGAAATAGATATTATTTTTAGTATTCTTTAAAATGAAAATATTAACAAATAACATAATTTGTGTTTCAGTTAAATTTTTAGAAGTAATTAAGCCGTTCTGTAGTATACTACCGGAAATAGCCAAACCAGAAAGAAAAGTAAGTAAAGTATTCAAGTTTTGTTTGTGACATTAATGAAATTACATTTTAATCTTATTTAATTAGTACCTGAATTCCCTTATTAGAATACACAAATAATGAAAAATAGTTAACCCTTCATAACTGCAGTCATTAACTATTGTTAGGCAAATTAATGGAATAACATATTCTTTTCTGATTCTATACTAAATTATTGTAAAATAGACATTTTATATTTTATTTTTTCTTCATTGATTCTGTATTTGTCTACCTAATTTAAAAAATACATTTTGCATGTACATTATCAGAAATTTCTGTGTAACAACTGAGATTTTTATTTGAATAATCTTATTAAAAAGATTTTAAAATGAGAAATTTGATTTTTTCAAATGAAATCTGCTTAATATTAATATTATTTTGTTTTGTTCTAATAGATTCAATTCAGAGAGAAAGTATTGTGGACAGCTATCACTTTATTTATTTTTCTAGTATGCTGTCAAGTAAGTCATTTGGTATTAATGTTATATTTTCTAAATTACATACTAAATATGGTTGTTTTTTTTTTCTAGATACCTTTATTCGGTATTATGAGTTCCGACTCGGCCGATCCTTTTTACTGGATTCGTGTGATTTTGGCTTCCAATCGAGGTACACTTATGGAACTTGGAATATCGCCTATTGTCACTTCAGGTCTAATCATGCAATTGTTGGCTGGGGCCAAAATCATCGAAGTCGGTGACACTCCCAAGGACCGTGCATTGTTCAATGGCGCTCAAAAGTGTACGTTGACATATTAATAATCGTAGACTATTTTTGTTATTGTAGCATTTTAAGATTTGTGTTTTATTATTGTCTAGTGTTTGGAATGGTCATAACTGTCGGTCAAGCTATTGTTTATGTCATGACTGGCATGTACGGCGATCCAAGTGAGATCGGAGCCGGTGTCTGTTTGTTGATCATTATTCAACTGTTTGTGGCCGGTCTCATTGTTTTGTTGTTGGACGAGCTTTTACAGAAAGGATACGGTCTCGGTTCGGGAATATCTCTTTTCATCGCCACAAACATTTGTGAAACGATCGTCTGGAAGGCCTTTAGTCCCACCACAGTAAATACTGGTAAGTTGATCGAGAACATTTCAGTGTCCCGTTGTAAATAACTGTTAAGTCTGTTAAATATTATTTAATAACAAAGAGTTAGCATAATTTACCTTCCTATTAAGAGGAAGTTGTACACCTAAATTTCTAGCGTTAAAACATACGCAGAATGCTTTTTAATCGCTCCATGATGATTTTAGAGCTAAAATACTTAGAAAAAAATGAAAGATGACAAGATTTTGGAAACAATGTTATGTTATTTTTTTTTGATAAACCCAACACATTTATAATCACATTTTTTTACTTTTTTAAAACCACAATAACTTTCTTTTACGTTATTATATTCAAAATCGGATATGACATTGTCTGCAAAATGTTGTTATCATTCAATTTTATAGATGTTTTTTCTCTAAAACCACTATTGACTGAGTAAAAAGCATTCTGCGTAACTATATTTAGATGAAATTTTTTTTTTAAATCACTATCAAGGATGCTGTAATAGTCCGAAAAATAAATAACTACCAAAAGAGATATCTAATTACTGAACTAATGATTGCTATCACAGTTCAAATAAAGATTTTGCAAAAATTGCCTGTACCCTACTCTTTAATAAATATGGGCTTTAACGTCCTCTTAAAATTTGTCAATCAAATTAGAATTTTATATAACTAATTTTCTTTGTTTATCATTTATTTAGGACGAGGAACAGAATTCGAAGGTGCCGTAATAGCCTTGTTCCATCTGTTGGCCACTAGACAAGACAAAGTGAGAGCATTGAGAGAAGCATTCTACAGACAGAATTTACCGAATTTGATGAATTTATTGGCTACGGTTTTAGTGTTTGCCATCGTTATCTATTTCCAAGTAATATAAATCACAAGAGTCATTATACAAAGAATGTGTACTTATAAATGTAATGCTTTACAAATGTTTAGGGTTTCCGTGTTGATTTACCTATTAAATCGGCAAGATACCGCGGACAATACAGTAGCTATCCTATCAAATTGTTTTACACTTCAAACATACCCATTATTTTGCAGTCGGCTTTAGTATCCAATTTATACGTCATATCTCAGGTATATAATATTTGAAATTTGTTCTTATTTATACACTGGTGTAGTCGTAAGTGTGTAAGCTGTGTGTGCGCTAGCCTTCCACTTTTCTATGTATGCGTGTACATATTTAGAAAAGTGACGGTGGGTATGCACAGCATTTACCCCCTACGATTACGCCGCTGCGCAGTACAAATAATTTTTTTTCTTTTACTAACATACCAAAATTATATTTTCAGATGTTGGCTGTGAAATTCCATGGGAACATATTAGTAAATCTGTTGGGCGTTTGGGCAGATGTGGGCGGAGGCGGACCGGCTCGAGCTTATCCTGTTGGCGGTCTCTGTTACTATCTGTCGCCGCCGGAGAATCTTTCTCATATTGCCGAAGACCCGATTCACGCTATACTGTACATTGTTTTCATGTTAGGATCGTGTGCCTTCTTCTCGAAGACGTGGATTGAAGTATCTGGATCATCCGCCAAAGACGTAATACAACATTTTACATTGCGATTAAATTAGGTATTGGTGTGTTAATTCGAATACATTTATATTTATATAGGTCGCTAAACAACTGAAAGAACAACAGATGGTTATGCGAGGTCACAGGGACAATTCTATGATCCACGAGTTGAACCGGTATATTCCTACTGCCGCGGCATTCGGAGGTCTTTGTATTGGCGCATTGTCGGTATTGGCTGATTTTATGGGTGCCATCGGATCGGGAACTGGTATATTGTTGGCCGTCACAATCATTTACCAGTATTTCGAAATATTTGTTAAAGAGCAAAGCGAAATGGGAGGCATGAGTACTTTATTGTTTTAAGACGGCTAGCTCATCGATTGAAGTTCATGAACTTGTCATTTGTTCATCAAGTCCCTGTGGGACAAGACTGTTGTCATAGTCCATGCATGACGAAAACTTCAGAAACAATGAAAATTATTTTGTACATTCAAAATCCAAAACAAAATTATCAATTAATGACTTTCGGCATTTCAAATTAACAGCGTTTCAAAATTTTCTCAACAAAATTACCCCCATACGACAAATTTATATCTTTTTGTTATCATTATTATTATTTTTATTTTATTATTATAATTTTTTTTTTTTTTATGTAAATTATATAAATGTTAGAAAATAGGCAAATTATTATTTATAACGTTTTTTTTCTCAAAGCTAATATATTAATGGTTGCGTTCGCAACATTTTTTTCCTAATTTTTGTAATGTAAATACTTACAGTAAGTTAATTTTCTTAGCAGTAAAAAAAAAGATTTTAAGAATATTTTGAGTAAAATAGTATATATATTTTTTTTATACTCAAAGCCTAACGCGTGACACGTTAAATTATCGTCCTGCCATTTTATTTCTATAATTTAACGGTTCACGATTGTTGTTGTTGTTGTTTAATACAAACAAATTTGTATACTTTTACACCAACTTTCTTTTCTAAGGTACAGTAGAAACACGAATTTGTCTGGTGCGTTTGCCCCTTGTTGCAATGATAATAAATAATTAATAATCATCAAACGTATCTATTATTTACTATCAATTCATTGCCCTAAACGCCAATAATGGTTTTAACTAGTAAAAGGTTTTCAATATATATGATGTGTACCAGTATCGAAAAGGGCCATTTTCCCGATACTCTGGTACACACGTGTGTATAATGAAATACATTTTTTATGTTACAATTATTTTTTATTTGAGAAACTGTACTTGTACGTTTTTATATATATTTTGAGAATATATTTTGTTTATTATGGATTCGTGTTTGGTTTCGTACGAGCTCCGGTAAAGGTATATTACATATCTCGTATGGTTTTCGGTAAAAGCAAGTGTAGAATTGAGGCTATGAGTGCAAACGCGGCCTAACCCATAAATTAAAATTAACCTAAGTACAATTAACAACTTGTTATATACATATATGTATTTAAACAAACAAATTGTGTAAATAAATTAAATACAATTTTTTCAAATAATTTTTAATTTATCAAGTTGGTTAATCGTGTTAACTAATCAATTTTAATTTATGGGTTAGGCCACTTTTGCACTCACGGCCTCAATTATAAACGTGTGTGCAGTGTGGTTTCGAATTGGACGACGTTTTTATTGCAAGTCGAGAAAAGTACACGGTTTTTTGTTTTATTCTAAATGGCCCACTCTCTCCGCGCCCTATCTTGTGGTGATAGGGGATTGACGGACGGTTTCGGTGACACGAGGTCAAGTGTGCCATCTCTGGCGCGTACCATGGCAGTTAGTTGGCCCAGTTACTACGCGGGGCTGACGCGTCCACGCGTGCCGGCAATGGCTAGATGGCGCAATGCATCCGCCGCAGCGCGACGCACCGTCCGTCCTATCTCTCGGTCGGGCGTGGCACACTTTGCGCCTTTCGTTTTTCCGCATCTCGCCGTTGTCATGGGTACCGCATCTACTCGCCCTCGCGTCCCGAATCGATAATAAAAACCGTGTGAACGCCGTCGCCGGACCGGACCGGCAACGTCGCACGCGGAGGGTGAGCCTGTGTGTGTGTGTGTGTGTCCAGCGTATGCTGTGACGGCGGGCCTGTTTGCAGGCACCGCGAGGCGGCCGGCGGTCGCTGCGCGCGGCACCGGACAACAAAACCATGACCTCGTCGGCCGGACGGTCAGCGACAACGCACACGGCAGACGCCGCGGCCGTGTTTGTTAGTCATGTTGTGTATGACGCGCGTGACGGCCGTCGTCGTCGTCGCCGCAGCCGCATTAATTATTGCCACGGCCGGACAGCCGCGGCGCTTTTGCGCGACTTCACGGCGCGGCGCGCCGGGGCACTGTAGGAAGTCGCAGGCGGGACCATCGGAAATCGAGTTGAATCGTCGGCAGCGTTGCTTACGCTTTGGTTGCGGATTTTCGAGTGTTCCCCCGGCACTTTACAGGCAGGGCGAGGAGGAGGAGGAGGTCGTTTTCCGTCGCGGATCTGCAAAGAGAAAAAGAAAAAAACGCGCATTGAGCGCGCTCGATGACACTCGAATAGTGTCGACGTTCGAGTGTTCGGAGTCAATACGGCGAACGACGTCCGGAAAACCTATACCGAGGGACGACTCCGAGGAGTAGTAGTCGGTTAGAGGGACGGAAAAAAAACAACTTTGTCTCGTTACACCAAATTTCGATGAAAATTGCGTTTTCGACGACCGCCGTCACGCGTTGTGGCCGTCGCGTCCCGTCTCGCGCGCGCCGGCCGGCGCTCGAACGCAAGGGCCAGTGGCGTAACTACAGAGGTTACAATGTGTTAACCGTACAAAAACGCCCTAAATTGGAATCGGCCAGTGGCAGCCTCCCCTCCTGCACACACGGTAGCTACGCCACTGGCAAGGGGAGAGGAGACAATGATCGTGTATGATCTAATGAAATTATGATAAATTGAACTTGTAAAAATCTTTATCAAAAATAGTTAGATAATAGTGATTATTCTTATGTATATATACTTGCATTATTCCAGGCAAGTCGAGACCCCCCCCCCCCCCCGAGAGCGCCCACGTTGGCGTTTGTGCAAGTTTGTGGTTGCTATGAACTGCTATTTATCATTTGGTATAGGCGATTTTTCACAAAATCATAGTCTCGACTAAAGTATAAATTAATGCACAGCCAGGGCCGTATTTAGGAGTTTGTCATCCTGGGGCAAAAAAAACGCCCTATTATAATAAAGTAAACATTTAATGCAACATAAAAAAATTTAGCTGCCCCCTTATAATCAGCCGCCCGGGGCAACTATTAAAATGGAGATATAATAAATATAGTGTGTGGGTGACTATGTAATAATGAGTATAAATGACTGTTCATTATAAACAAAGTGTCTTTTAAAATATTTAAACAAACAGCGACCAAGTCGGTCTATTGGTGTCATTTTACTCAATCATTATTAACAAGTCTGTTTTTACATAAATAATTGAGTTTAACGTCCTCTTTAGGGGTAAAAATAAAGGTAAGATTTGTTTTTTGACAAGTTTTAGCTATGGCAATTCGTTAAAAGGAAAAGTCGAACTCGGGGGGTGTTTGAAATGGGCGAAGTCTCCTTCGAGGCCAAAACATATTAATATTACACAGGGACTATAAACCCAAGTAAGCGCTCATGTTAAAGGGTTGTATATTAGTTCTTATAAACAACTTGTCTCTGAGCTATTCGTATATAGTGATTTTTCTATGAAAAGGACATGGCGGGAAAAACGCATGGTTCAATATTCAATATTTTTTTTTAATCATGCGGTTATTTCATTGCATAAAAGATGAGTGTTTTAAGCTTTAGCGCGAAAATAGTTTAGTATCTTTTAACACTTTAAATAGTATCAAAGAAAAATTAATAACCAATTCTACGTATATCTACTACCCATGTCTTGTGATTGTCACATCAGGGGCCTGTTTCACGAAAAAAAAAAAACAATTTTGAAAATTACAAGTGACAAGTAAGTAAGTGTTTTTATGAAACAGGCTCCATGTCAGGTTTACCTAGGGACTGTTGTTTTAGCCTAGTAATTTCATGGGTTCTTAGGGTTGTTAAATAAGGTAGGTATACAATTTTTACATTTTTGGAGTAAACCCGTCGGGTTTGTTTTTGAGGAGGGGAGGTTTTGTGGGTATTGTAAATTTACTACCTATGGAAATAACCGATTAGAAAAATATATTCAAAATTCAAACCGCTAGTCTCCCCCCCCTCCCAAAAAAAAAAGCCTACCTTTTTAACATAGTTTTACCATGATGCCCCCCTCAAACGTTTTTGGGCAGGTTTAGGGAGTGACGGCACCGGCGGCGTTTCGCAGCGTATCCTGCAGAGTTCGCCAACGGTCAGACGCCGCCGTGCGCAACGGCTGCGGGGACGAGATGGCCCCGATTTCCCGACAGGCCGTCCGGTCGGGAGGGGCGAGGCGGGAACAAGGGGAGGAGGAATGCGGCCGCGTAAAATGCTGGGGCACGCCGTCGAGGAAATCCCCGGATTACTTTACGGACTGTCGTCGCGCGCCGTGATAGCGCGAACGTGCCACCGTCGTGTTCGCTCCGGCAAGGAGGAGACGTGTGTCTGGCGCGCGCGTTCGGATCCGCACGATTTCACGAACAACACTGGTGTTCGGTGCGCGGGTTTTATCGGTTCCTCCGTTACTGGACATTTTTTTTTTTTTTTTTTGGATAAAAAAACCGTCGTTGTCGGCCGGTCCGCATGCTGCTGGTGTCCGCCGACGACCGCCGACCCTCGCCGATACCTGCAGTCCACGGTACAACTGCATCCGATTATGTCGCGTGACGCAGACACGCGTCGCACGAGACCGCGGTTGTCGCGACACGGAACGTCGCATCCTCGATCGCCCTGAACTCGCTTCCCCGCCGACCAGTCGAGTAAGTCACGTACGCATTTTTTATGTACCTTTTTTGGCAAGGCCAATTTTAGGGAGGGGCATTACCTCTGGACGGAATAATACAGTTTACACAACTCGTGTATCTTTGGGGGTAGTATCATCCCCAATTTTAAAACGAGCACCCTCTAATGTTTATGTATTTTAAAGCTCTGCTTATGAAATTATTTGTAATATCAAAAAAAAAAAAACAAAAATTGTTGTACAGAGTTTATTACAGTATTATTATTATTATTTATCAATGTTTAGATGGCTATTGCACTTAACATTAGTTCTCTTGTCTTATACGAGACAGGACAGACTTAGAGATTTGCCAACATTATAATATACAGAAAAATATACATAATTAACGTAAACAAAGTCAATGTGACACGTTTGCGGGACATGAAATACCTTTGAATTGTAATATTGCGTACATTTTTTACTATTTTTTTTTTTTATACATATACAATTAAAATAAACAAAAGTGTTGAATCGATACACAACATCCAATTTCGGCTGAACGCTTTTGATTATAAGATGTTAATGTATCATCTACCTATCTAGTACTCGGTTTAAATCAAATTCGAACGATTATAATACTTACATTTGCTCCGTTCGTTGACAATTATTACCTACCGGGGCCGGCTCGGATTTAGCTTTAGCCTGTACACATAGAGAGTCGTGTAGCGGCAAAGTATAATAATATGCCGATAATGTATGTATATACAAGTCTAATAATAATAGTAATAACAATATTCGAGTCGGGCAAACGGACGAAGGGTCCCGGGTTTAATTATACGCCGCACGTGGTCCGCCGCTTGTGTGTAGTCGAGAAACGGTTGTTTTTTTTATTATTACAACTCGCTATGCACAAAACGACAGACGTTATTTGTAGCGTTAACAGAAATTGAATACGGTTGGCAATTTTTGGAGAGTCTAGGTACGGCTCGAGAGGACAAATGTTAAAGAAAAGAAAAAAAAAAACCTCCAATTAACGACAAAAACAACTCGAGTGTGTATCGAAGACGGTTGAAAAACGGAACGTCATCGGAAAAGACACTTGCAAACAAGCTTTTTTCCCTTAGTCGGCCCTTTTCTTGCTAACCAATTGAGAGTCGATCTGTAGTGGGTTTTCGCGTCTTGAAACGACAACGTCTCTCTCTTGTAGAGTCGAGGCAGCCCCGTTCAATGGAGTTTTTTTTTCAAAATATGATGAAAAATTTGTTTCAATCGAACTTTACCTCATAGCTCATAGTACATCGTAATGCGTATTATTTTCTAGACAGGCGGCGACCCCCCCCCCCCCCCAAAAAAAATCTCTTTCCCCGGGACTTAATCTCGTTTGGTCAGTATTTATTGTTTGGCCGGCCTTTAATCCCAACCCGTCAAATCGAAATCCCGTCCGGCTTGGATTAAATATAATACACAGCGGCAAAAATGATACAGCACATCTCGGAATATCTTTGAAAACGTCCCATCTTCAATTATAAAAGTTTAATTCGCATAAAAACAACACTATATATATATATATATGAAGCGGTGGGAACCAACTTTGTTTTCAATATTTGAAGAAAAAAACAAACTCCCACGAGAACACACGTTGAAAATACAAGTTTTTTTTTTATGTAGTTAAATTATATAAAAACCGCACGTACGGCCCCGTTTGATGTGTCACCACTTGATGTATAATACACATGTAGGTACAATTTGAATGTATGGTTCAAACGGAATAATAACACATACTTGTGTATTTTTTTTTTTTTTTTGTTAAACATTTCGATCAACAAGGAAAGGCCAAGACGGAAATACAGAGAAAACGGTCTGATTTTGGTCATAATATTATATTTTCTGTGGCGGCCGCCACGAGTGGGTTGAATACCTTCTCCGTAAGAGAAGTTTGCCACTTTCATCAAGTCGTCTATTTATTTTATATATATATATATATATATTTGTACTTGAACAAATGGTCGTAGAGACCTATTGTAAAGTCGAGAGGTCACCTATTGTTAATTTTACCTTTAAAAATACTCTATATTCAATCGAATTTTTAAGATGTAAACAATTTTTTTTTAAGAAAAGTTATGTACGTCTCATTGTAGCGTATTATCCAATGTTTAATTATAATATATTGTTACCCCCTTTTTTTTTCTAGTAAAAAATACATTTTTAAACAATCATTACTAATCATGGGTTTTCTACGAAATTCAACTGTACAAAAAAAGAGTATTAAATGTTATTCGCCAAACCGACATAAAATAATTCGACTTTAATTTAATGTCATTGGTTATAGTTTTATTATTTTTATATAATAAATTTAAATTAGTTATTTTTATTAGTTTACCAATTTATGTTAAAATTATTCATACGTGTTTATTAAAGTTTCTTTTTGTTCGTTGGCCACTATTGTGTTTATAGTCTATTTCTAGAAAGTTCATTATATCAGATAAGATGCCTATACAGAAAATTTACTATACCTATACTATATACATGTAATATGTTATACTGACATAATAAATTATTATTTTGATATATTGCCTTATCTTATTGGAGTTATCTTTACTCCACCGGTTTGGTAATCATGTACAATTATAGGACATATTTTTTAAATTAAAAAAAAATCCCCCCTTACCCCCCTAAGTAGGGGGAAAATTTTAAAAATTATTTCAAATCTGAATTCAGCGTCCCCAAAAACATATAATTTGATATGTCGTTTTGCTTTTTAATCAAAAGTTTAGGAGCTATTAGTTTCGATCGTCTTTTTTTGGATTCTACACCACTGTGCGACGGTATTGTATATTATTATTACCTATCATTTATATTATATTATGAAATTGTAACGCAATTGTATTGAATTTAACGCGTTAATCAGTTGGTCGTGTGAAACGTGAAAAGACACAAGCTCAAGCATAGGTTCGAAAATACCAACCGTGTGTATATATAATTTTTTTTTTTTTTGCTTATTTACTCGAGAGCGAAATGTACAATAATATGCTGCACATAGCAGTGTAAAAGCGGTGTTTTGTATTTTTTTTAACGCCTCAATAGGTACTCGTACACGTGTATTGCACATATATAGTACATTGCACAGTGCACGTCCGTTGCAACCTATATGCGCATAAGATAATATGATACTTCACTGTAAATAATGCATTTGCCGAGATGGTAATATAACGTCAAGGAGATAACGCACAACGTTCGCTTTTGTAGAAACAATACATGGACATTTTAAAAATATTTTGAAAAAAGTTGTGAAAGCCGATTTGAAGAAAGTTCACGCCTTTAAGTGTTTTCGAGTACTTCTCCTGCCGGCCGACACGAACGAGTCTGTCGAGTTTATTGAATACAGTATTTCATACTTTGATGTCGACTGTATAGGTGTACTTGATGAATCTGACATAATTACAAAGATGTCGCACTCGTCGTTGTCTTTTGCATTGGTACCTGACCTAAATAATTCGAGCACTTCATACTTAGTATACTTGGCAAAACGTGTTGTGACTTCAGATGATATTACTATAACAACAGGACAACCGGTGGTTTTAGTGGAAAATTACATACTCAACCTGTGGTTACATATGTTATTAATTAATTATTTTGGATTTCGGTAAACGGCCAAAGGTTAGCCCTGCCCGAAATCAAATCCTGGCCACGCCACTGAAATTGTTTGTTATTGGAGTGATATTTTTTGTATTTTACATAATATTATACACCTGGAAGAAACTCGGTGCACTTTTCTTAGGGAATTATGCCATCACATGAAATTATCATAACTGAAAGTCATGTCACTTTCCAAAAAACATAAATAACACTTTGTCAGCGTGTATTTATATTTATGTATTTATGTTGTTTAAAACATCCACACGATCAATTAATAATACTATTACAACGCTATTACGATGGTGTACTATAATTACGACGGCGGCGGCGTAAGTAGAATTATCGTAAGGCTACGCGGGGTATACGCGGCGCGTGACGTCCAGGGCGTGTGATGGCCTCAGGTCGGGCGGGCGGGCGGGCGGCGGCGGCGGCAAACGGAGGTTCCGGGACACACGCCCTAGTAGGTAGTATTCATTGACTGGACCCCGCCACCGCAGCAGCCGCCGCCGCCGCCGTCGCCGGTCCGCCGGACCGGCGGGCGGCGGGCACGGGCCGACGGACTTTGTCAGCTGTGTGGCGTTCAGCATCTTGTACCCCAAGCATGTGGAGCGCTCTGCCGACGGCCGCGGGACCGGTGGCGCGCGCGTCCTGGTTTGTTGCCGCCGCCGCCGCCGCCACGCCGTGCCGCATCTACACGGTCCTCCGACACGACGCCGAGGTGGCCCCACTCGAGAGTTGTCGCGCGTTCACGTTCGACACACCCTGCGCGTCCTCCGGTCGACCAACTTGGGGCGTGGACAGTGCAAGTGTGTGCGTGTGTGCGTCGTGTGCGTCGTGTATAAGCCTTGCCTAGAGCGTTTATGCGAACAGCGTGTGCGGTGTTCCGGCGTAGTGGCGTGTCACCGTGTCCGTCGACTTCTACAACCGTTACGCGATGGGCATACACCCGAGCACCATGCGGACGTCGCACAGCGGCGGCGGCGGCGGCGGCGGCGGCAGCGGCAGCGACAGGCAGATGTTCGTCAGGTCCAGGAGGTCGCAGGTACGTCAGGTGTCGCAGGTGTGAGCGGGTGTTGGACGTACACGTTGGACCCGGGGTAGACTGGGCGGCGACAATCAATCCTCGAGTCGTTGTACCGTCGTCAGAGACGGTATCAGTTCGAATTGAATGATGTTAATACGGTTGAAAAAGAAAAAAGAAATTTGAGTACACAGTTTGACACACTTGTAGGTGCATTATACACGGGGGTATGGTATCGCTATTGTATGTATTATTATAGTATCTTGTACCGATGACCACCGCCGGAGCGGGTCTCGTGCGGGAACGCTGAGCGAAGGTGCCCTTTGAAACGGTTTTTAATTTACAGTTTTCCGGTGTCGGGTCAATCCCGGCTAATATAACTT